CGGAGCCTTTTGTTTAAGGGCTAAGAATTTTAAGACAGCAAGGAAATCAAACCAAGCTCCCTGCCCTCAAGCCAATTCCGTCTCATACTAACCCTATCAGGTAGGCCTGCCCAGTGGGCTTCAGAGGCTGCAAATCTTTATGGGAGCAGAAAGCTGCATTTTGTCCCACAGAGCAAACAGGTGGGTTCAAACCACTGACCTTGTAGTTAGCAGCCCAGAGGGTAGCCCTAGATGCTACCTGGGCTCCGCAAGACACCAAAGAGCATCAAACCAAACACAGAGCCTTGCCCAGTGCGGGGCCCTATATGACAGATTCAGAGCCAGTGGTGGGGTGAGAGTAGGTACGTTTCTTCTGTAGAAACGCTGTTAAATGTTTATGTCAATGGCTCTCAACCTGTGGATCACGACCCCATCAAAGGACCCTTTCACAGCAGTTGCCCGATTAATCAGAGTAGCCAAATAACAGTTATGATGTAGCAATGAAAATAATTTTATGGTTGGGGGGTCACCACAACATGAGTTGTTATTAAAGGGCCATGGTATTAGAAAGGTTGAGAACCACTGGTTTATGTGAAACAAATGGAAACTTAGGTATAATGAGGCAAATTCGACTTTCACTGTCTAAGAGCCACCACTGGCTTCCTGCAAAAGCAAAGCGAAATAAAAACCAAACTCACTGCCAAAGAGTCCATTCCACCTCAGAGTGACCCTGTAGGACAAAGGAGACCCGCCCCTGCGATCCTCACACCACTGGTTCAAGCCATTCTCGTTCTTTATTTGTGCGCCTCTTCTTGCCTCGCCTCACCAGAGTCCACAATAGCAGGAATCTTGGACTGTTAAAGTGAATGAATAAATGACCGTCACTGACCAACACTGGGATCGCAGTCACAGGTTAATTCGACCATGCAGAGTTCAACACAGACCTGTTGACCCAGAACTGAGGAGAAAAAGAAATGTATACTCTGGAAGTGTCTTAGAGGGTTTCAGCAAGAGCATTGCTCCTCCACATTCCGTCCAGTTCTTTCCCCCCGCGCCATCTTTGACTGCATGGCCTGTAGGTTCCATTCGCTCTACCTGCAGCAGTCCGTGCGACGTTGAAATGAAAGACGATGAGCATGTCATAAGAGATGGTTGACAGGGCTTTAGCCAAAGCAGTTGTCATACGATCATGAACTAAAGGGGGCAGTAAGGGAAATTCCAGCAACACTTGATTCTTCTGTGGGTGTGCAAATGTCTGGGATGTTGGCTAAGAATAAAAAAGTATAATTGTAGGGCATTTCTAAGGAACTTGGAAGCCAGGATGAGGAGGTGATGTGGAGGATAGGCTCGGTGCAGTGTGATATAGAACACAGGTGCAGTGCTGTATGCAAGCCTGTTTGTGTTCTTTGGGATGAAGCGTAATCATGGTGATTGTCCTGTGGTTTTAAAGTTTGAATATTTGAGAATTAGAAAGGGAACTCTGACTTAGTCTTGCCGGCTGACCAAGGAACACAGGAAGGGAAAGAATCAACCAATCATGCCCTTGATGTGTTCAAACAGAAAATCTTTAACACATATTTGTTTCAGGCCGGTTTGTGCTCTATCTATCTATCTATCTATCTATCTATCTATCTATCTCTCTATCTATCTGTCTATCATCTATCAAGATGATACCTTGTTTATAATTATATCCCTAAAGTATATTATACCTATTCTATAAAGTATATTATACCTATATTATAGAGTTTGCTGAATAGCAAGCTCTCTGTATAAAGGCAAGCTCCATTATATACTGGAGTCCATTATTCCTGTACGACAGAGCTTGCTTAAACTGTTGAGGAAAACAGATGATCCACAATTACAGCAAAAGCCCTAAACATTAAGGATGCTACGAGGGCATGAAGCCGCCTGACTTGTGCATGTTTATATGCACACCCATGCAGTGTGTGTGTCTGTGGGTGTATGTGTGTGAATGTTGGCAGGAAGGTTTGCAGAGCCTGAAAGATGTGTGTAAATTATCCAAGTGAGAAGGGATTTAGGATGGGGTTGGAGAACTGAGAGACTACAGCAGAGAGTGGTGAGAGACAGCTTGGACCAACAAAGAAACTGAAAGTACTGTAGGCTAGAGTGTGCACATTTCAAAGGAGGAGAAGCCAATCGAGAGAACTGACTTGAAGAGTGAGGAGAAATTAATATAGTTTAGGGGGGCAGGAAGCTTCTGAATTAAAAAACAAATCTAACTGGAATTGTTTAGTAGTAGTTTAGTCTTCAGAAACAGGGCTACGTGAGCCATCACCTTAGCTACCCTGAGGTAGCAGATGGTGCTCAGCTACTACCACCATCGCCTGTTTAGACCTGGAATGGGAGGGAAATGTGAAGCAGAACTCAGATTGTTTGTTTGTTATTCTAAAGAGCCAGACAAATTGGCATGGTAGAGAAAAGAGGACTGAAACTATAGCCCTGAGACACTCTTTAAACCTGGAGCTGAGCCTCGCCCCTGGGACCACCTTTTAGTGAAATAGCAGAGTGGCACACAAGGCACAGGCTGTTCTTATCCGTGAGATTGGTGCCTCATTTAGAAACCATCTGCATGAGGCCATGTCAACAATTCCTCAAAAGCAAAGATGGCATGCTAAGGAGCCAGGGAAAGTAGAGTAGTGGACATTTACAAATTGGAGCCTAATAAATGGTTACTTTTCAAAAGATGTCGAATGGGAAAATGTTTTGCTATATGTTTACCATAGTACTTTAAAAAAAATTACTTCTTTTGATGTAGATAAAACTATAATAATTGAGAGATTGGAGATGGAGGTGCAGAACAGAGATAGAATTTAGCCAGGAATATGAAGTTCAGAAAGGCCTTATTGAGGCAGGGGAAGAACTTCCATGAGGGAAGGGAGAACAGAGAAAGGGATGGGGGCATCTTGAGCCCCCAGACGGGTTCCAGGACCCAATGAGTTAGGTCAGGGAAATCGCGCCTGGCAGTGAGGCAGTGGGACATACATAGGGCTTGAGCCAAGGACATATGCACTGCTAAGGGGAAGGAAGGCCTTCCGGTGTTGCAGTTGCAGGTCTGAGTCAGGATGTGGTCTATGAGTAAATCATCCCGGAATGCTGATGGAAGGGGCTGTACAGAGCCGGCCCGGAGAGATAAGCTCCTTGGAATGCTGGAGGCAGGGACTGCACAGTCCAGCTCTGGCCTTGCGAGGCTGGGGCAAGGGGCTGCACAGTCCAGCAGGCTATCTTTCAGGAGAGCTGGGGGAAGTGGCTGCATGGTCCAGACCTGGCCCAAACAACCATCCTGTCTAGGTTTCAAGGTATTTCTTCTGATTCTGCTGTCAGATGATATGTTTGTCTTGGGCAAATTTCAGCAAATTGGGGCATGGAGCTAAGTATTCATCATGAGTTATCCCGTGTGGTCTGTCAGATACCTGCAGCCTAATAGCACTGCCAGGAGCTTGAATAGGAGGAAGAGAAGAGGCTTTGGAACAGATGGAGAGTTTGTCTCTATCCGAAAAATCCAGGGTCCAGTTGGGCATATGGGAGCAATTGTAGAGGAGATTATTAGGATGAGATCTCTCTAAGGGAAAAGCCACCACTATTTTAAAGACTTTTTTCCCCCTTTTTCTTTTGAACTCTTCTCCACTCAACATAAGCATCTGTCTGTGTTGCTTGCCTGGGGAAATGAAGGGTGGAACGATTTAGATGACCTCTGCTATCTGATTCTAGAGTTAGCTTTCACTTTGGAAACAGGGTTTTTTGGCATTCCCCACAGCTGGTCACGCCTGCAGATCGCCTGCAGATCGCGTGATAGCCAGACTTCCCTGCTTAGTTAGGCAACTTCCCTAGGGCCGGGCAGACAGGTCTTCCTTCGGCACTGGGCATCCCACACTGTAACTAAGGGACCTGGTTCAGAATAGGATGAACTACAGAGCATCACTGACCAACACTGAGGCCAGGAATCATAGGTTAATTCAGTCATTCAGATTTCAACATTGACCCTTGAGATGAAGAATAAAGAACACGTGTACTCTGAAAAACTGTCTTGGAGGGTTTTTCGGAGAGCATCATTCCTTCCCACTCCACTCTAGGGGGCAGTGATACCAGTAAGCAACTGGTCTGGGAAATTCTAGTGAGGACCTCGTTGCCACCCAGTACACTAGTGCTCGACTATTAAAAATATGGTGATTCACACCTACCCAGAGGTGTCTGGGAAGAATGACCTGGTGTTCTACATCCGAAAAGTGGCCTTGATTGCACGGGATGACCATGACTCAGAAACAGCAACTCGGACAAAAATTGGTATGGTTTTGAGTTTGGTCTCTTTTCTTTCTTTCTTTAAAAAATACTTTTATTGGGGGCTTTTACATCTCTTATCATAATCCATGCATTACTCCAATGTGTCAAGTACATTTGCACATATACCACCATCATCATTTTCAAAGCGTCCTCTTCCCACTTGAGCCCCTGCTATCAGCTCCCCATTTCTTCCTCCTCCCTCCCCCACCTGCCCTCCCTCACAAACCCTTGATAAGTTATAGGTTATTTTTTGAGTTTGGTCTCTTTTCAATTTGCCCTATATTTCATCAAAGGGCAACTCTGGATCACTCCTCCTATTGAGAGAGGCATTCCTGGTCCCCATAAGGTTTTGTTGGGGAAGTACTGACATCAGCATCGGGAGGCTTGATCATTCACCCTTTGGGAATTCTGTGATTCTCTGTGATTGTCACCCTGTCATTATTTCCATCTTGAATCTAGCATAGTGATGTTTACCTGCTAGAACTCAGGATATTGGCTTTTTCCTTAGGCTTTCCTCCCAATTGAATAATAAGGAGATGGCTTTGTTATTCTCGAGTTTAACACTGACCCCTTCTAGAATCAAACTCATAAGTGACACTTGAGAAACCCAATCAGAAGTGAAACAAACACACGCAAAAGAGTCTCCTGTGAACAGTCATATTAACACCGTTTTTTAATGTTTTTTTTTCTTATGGTTTCTTATCTCACAAACTTATCTGAAGCTTTGGTTTTTAACATTTCAATCCCAGTCCTCCCGATTGCGGAGTGCAAAGTCAGAGAGAAGAGCTTCTGGCTTCAACCATGTCCTGGAAATCCATATTCACAAAGCTGAAGAAATAGAACTTGGTTGTTGGCAACTATCAGTCTTTAAACGTTTTCATTTGCTTCTGTCTTTGAAGTGTCAGAGCTTATGCTATCATTCATCAGCGTATGGAGACTTCATCTAAAATTGAAAAATGAAAATGATCTTTGAAGCAATGATTGTTTTGCAAATAAACTACCACTTGCTGTTTGGTGAGCATCCTCCTTTCTACTAAACACTAGGATCTTTCTACCAACGAACTACTAGGTATTTACAGAAGTAAGTGTCAATCAGTCTGAAAGAAAAGGTATCTTACAGGTAAACGGAAACACTTTTTAGAAAGAAAAGAAAGCCAATTCATCAAAAACATAATAAGGAAATCAGAGGAAATGTAAGAAAAGTTTAGTTAGACATAAGTAACTTAGTGATTTAAGGGTAACCAGTTTGGGAATAAGCTAAAAGAGGAGGAAATGACTTTTTCATCCTCGTAAATCTTTAAGATAACGACTTGCGTAATAATTCTATCATTCTGATGTATGTGTACGCATGAGTGGAGTCATCCTCACTTAACTGACTCTCTGGACAATACCTGGAAGAAGAACAAATATAATGCACACTGACTGAGATGACTGCACTTGGGGTTAGGCCCAGATTATTATACTGCGATTGATTGCTCTTCATGTGCTACTTGGAGAGGCGCCATGGACTATAGTGCAATTAACAAGTAATCAAGAAAATAAGGTTTTTGGTGCTTGAACTGATAAAAATTAAATATTAAGCTATACTTATAAATATGGATTGACATAGGTTCTCTGCTAAAATGGAGAGTAGGGTGAAGAGTGGTCAGTGGAAGAGATTGAGTTAAATGTGTTTTGGGTCAATTTAGGAATGTTTGTCCTCTGAAGGCTTTTGAATGGAAAGATGGAAAGAACTGGAAACAGTTCACGTAGGTAACAATCTCCTTTCAATACTTATAATATTAGGAGCCTGTAAAACTTTAAGGACACCCCTGGTGTTCTTATGACCTCATGAACATGTCCCCAAAAATCTTTCCTACAGGCTGGCAGAACTTCGGCTCCTTCAATTCACACACCACCTTTGGTTCACTGGAAATGCCCTTGACCATCGATGGAAAAGAAAGGGAACATACTGCTGTTTCAATTGTTGTGGGACTCAGGTTTTCTCTCAACACTGCATAAACACTTGGAGACATGGGAAGAAGGTCTGATGGAGAATGTGGCTCAGTTGAATCGCTTCGGCTTAAAGAGAGAAGGTACATTTTAAAAACAATTTAAGAAATAACAGCTTACAGTGACTTATGTCAGGAACCCATTTCTGTGGTTGTATTTATTTGTGACACTGATATGCCTGATCCACCATTTGATATCAGACCATCTAACCTGCTGTGTAAGACCTTTTCATGCCAGGCAGGACAGACCAGCTTTGGGTATTAAAGAAATGGTATATGGAGCATTAAAATACTTTCTTTACTCTCAGTTATAGAGTCTCTTCTGTACCATCAAATTTCCCATAGAAAACTTTCTTATTATTATTTTAAGTTCTACGATAGATATTTTTCATGTAACTAAGATTACTCACATTGTTGAGATGGGGATAAAAACAGAAGGAACATAACCTTTGTCTCCACTTTCTGTTGGTCTTGAAACTGGGGGGAAAAAGGCACATTGTTGGGGAAAATATTAAACAACTTTATTGACAAAGTTAGAAACAAAGTCTAGAGAAATGTAAGCAAGGACAAGAGAGATATCATAGTTATTTAGTGACTCATAAATCTTTTTAGTTGAATAGATGCAATGTGTTCCAGATGAGTAATACAATATAAAAGAAGAAAAAAGTAAATCTCTTGACATGCCTGATCTTATTTCATTATATAAAAATGCCTTGAAGATACTTAAAAACATTGAGAATCAGTTATATTACCTGATTTCTATGAGGGGGGGGGGTACCCAAATTTAAAAAATGGAGAAAAGCTCCACTGGGTGTAGCTTTCATAGTACACATTTTCCTCATTATGCGAGGATCAAGCAACTCACTCAGAGGTAGTGCACCCAGTGGCGTCACCTGGAAAGGTTCTCACTACTCACAGTGAATTTTTTTCGTAAAAGAAGTTTTATTTGAACCTCTTTTTTTATGATGGCCGATTTAAGAGAACAGTATGTGGCTGGGAAATTTTGGTTCCTGCTTGTAAAAAATCCCATAGAAACTGTTGTGATGTAGAACACAGCTTACAAAGGCAGGTTTTTTGGGGGTACCCCTTGTATGTTTGTTCACGCTTGATTATAAGTACTGATTTATTCATATATTGGGGGTATTCACAGTAACTCAGTTCTTTCCACTAAAACTGACACTAATTAATGTTAAAATTACACACATTTTTTGAAGTACAGGTATCAAACAGTGTTGCTGAAAGTACCATTATAGTAGTAATGGTGTACACACCTCACCTTAAAAACATTCCTTAGAGTTTTATCTTGTACCATGTTCAGTTGGTATTTGGCCCAATTATCTACTGTCATTAATTGCATTGGTATTTGTTATTTTATTCAGTTGGAGGTAGAGAAGAACTTAGAAGTCACTGTTAGCCTTTGCTTGTTTTGTTTTGTTCCAGAGGGAATGCAGTAGAGCACACTGTCTGTGAGTGACAACTGTGGGATATTCCACAAGACACTGCTTTTAGATTTAGTTGCTAAGGATGAAAATGTTTATGGCTTGGATATGCTTTCCATTAGAGACACAGAATGGTGGACTTACATTACAATTCTATAGCTAATTTCATGGACTTTCTCTTGTATGTTTGATAAATATTTGCACACTGCTTATTTTGACCAGCACTACTCTAGGCTGAGAGGATACTGTCAGGCAAGATACGTGTGTCAGGACTTGGTAGTGACAGACTAGGAGGTGGAGAGAGGATGAAGCGCAGTCTCTGGGCCCTCTCACCAGCAAATCAGCAACATTCTCTTAGATGTAAAACTATAGTAAAGTAGATGTGAAATTTACATATCCTGGCCCTCTTTTGCAGAAATATAGGCGTGTCTTACTACTTTTAAACACATTCTAGTAATAACCTCCTCTTTCATTTCCTCTCTCCTGTATGAGTGAAGTTCATAGCCCTCCTATTTTGTAAAGGAGAAAACTGAAGATCTACAAGTGGCTGGAAGAGGCCCAGGGACATTGTGAAGTCTGGTTACAGCCAGGGTCTACTACCCTGTTCCTGCCAAACAGCTCCAGATGGGGTCCCTCCCAGGAACTGCTCACATCCCACTTTGTTTCTGCAGCGTTGATCTCCACGTGCCCATTAGAGATATGGAGAGCAAAGCCAACATAAACAGAGAAGCTTCATTCACATTGCCCCGACATGAGGTTGTCTTCCAAAACCCCAAGGGGGAAAAAGTCAACAGAGAGAAGCTGACCTTCACATGGCTGGGAGCTGTAGTGTTTACCAAAGGCTTTGTCTTTGGGAATGTCAGGATATAGGTACTTCAGTGGGTTTTCTGGAATGTTTTCAGCCATAATAACCTTGTAGTCTCGGAGGATGTCAGCGAATGGCAGAGCAGACAACCGGCCTTTATTGTAGGGTTCTACAGAGTGGAATCTCACTTCTCCTGGAAAATCAGAAAGCAGGTGAATATCCACATCCCTGCAGACATTCTTAGTGGCCTGTCTTCCTGCCCACATTACCATTGTCCCCCTTTAAAACAATGCCTGTTGCGGTGCTCTAAGATGCGAATGCAACATACCGGCAGGAAGCAGGGAACCAGTAGAGAGGTCTGAGGGGCTAGCCCCAACCCCAACTATGTGGACAGCTGCCCCTCCCCCCAGAAGAATTTATTTCAGAGGACAGCACTGAAGCTACTGCTCAGGAAGAGGGACATGTCTGATCAGAGCACACGGGAGCAAATAAAGGGGGAGGGAGAGAGAGTGGAGGACATGCTGGCCCACCAAGCCTTGATGATATCCCAGCTCAGAGCAGCCAATACACAGAGAGGACCATATGGCCGGACCCACTACGAGACAGGACATCCCTCACTGAACCATAGCCCTACAGGGGACAACACTGGAGACAGTGTGGAAATTGCGCCCAATCTGACTACATCACACTGAAGCCATACACTAATGGCGTGGAACAGAACAGCAAAGGGAGCAGAGCAAGGAAGTCCCGAGGGAATACCAAAAATAGACTTTGGGGTCAGGGCATGGCACCCAATCAGACTCAACTGGAAAACACTCCTAAAGACCAACAAACAGACCTTGAACTATTTACAGGCTTTTCCTTTTTTTGTCATTGTTTTTTTGTTTTCTTTTGTTGCTTTGTTTTGCTCTGTCTTGTTTTTGTGCATATCATTATCTCTGCAGATCTAGCTAGATAATATAGGCTGGATAAACAATCTGGAGCGGAAAAGAATGGGAACGATGGTTCCGGGGGGACATGGGAAAGGGGGAGGTGGGAGAAAGCAAGTGGTGTTAACAAACCCAGGGACAAGGGAACAACAAGTGATCCAAAATCAGTGGCAAGGAGGTGTAAGAGGCTTGATAGGGCTTGATCAAGGGCAATGTAACTGAGAGGAAATACTGAAACCCAAATGAAGGCTGAGCATGATAGTGGGACAAGAGGAAAGTGAAAGGAAATACAGGAAAGAACTAGGAGGCACAGGGCATTTATAGAGGTCTAAATATAGGCATGTACATATGTAAATATATTTATATATGATGATGGGTAAATAGATCTATGTGCATATATTTATAGGTTTAGTATAAGGTAGCAGGTGGGCCTCTATAAGGGCCTCTACTCAAGTACTCCCTCAATGCAAGAATGCTTTGTTCTTTTAAACTGGCATTCTATGATGCACACTTTCCTGACACAATCGCTGAAGACAAAGCGGGCGCATAAGCAAATGTAGTGAAGAAAGCTGATGGTGCCTGGCTATCAAAAATATAGTGTCTGGAGGCTTAAAGGCTTGAAGATAAACAAGCTGTCATCTAGCTCAGAAGCAACAAAGCCCACATGGAAGAAGCACACCATCCTGTGTGATCATGAGACGTTGATGGGATCAGGTATCAGGCATCAAAGAACAAAAAAACATATCATTGTGAATGAGGGGGAGTGTGGAGTGGGGACCGAAAAAGCCCATCTGTAGGAAACTGGACATCCCCTTACAGAAGGGTTGCGGGGAGGAAACGAGCCAGTCAGGGTGCAGTATAGCAACGATGAAACATACAACTTTCCTCTAGTTCTTAAATGCTCCCCCCCCCCACTATCATGATCCCAATTCTACTTTACAAATCTGGCTAGACTAGAGGAAGCATACTGGTACAGATAGGAACTGGAAACACAGGGAATTCAGGACAGATGACCCCTTCAGGACCAGTGGTGAGAGTGGCAATACCAGGAGGGTGGAAGGAAGGTGGGGTAGAAAGGGGGAACCCATTACAAGGATCTACATATAACCCTCTCTCTGGGGGACAGACAACAGAAAAGTGGGTGAAGGGAGACACTGGACAGTGTAAGATATAAGAAAATAATAATAATTTATAAATTATCAAGGGTTCATGAGGCGTGGGTCCAGGGAGGGAGGGGAAAAAATGAGCTGATACCAAGGGCTCAAGTAGAAAGTAAATATTTTGAGACTGGTGATAGCGACATATGTACAAATGTGCTTGACACAATGGATGGATGTATAGATTGTGATGAGTTGTACAAGCTCCCAATAAAATGTTTTTTAAAAAAACAACAACACCCAAGCTCCCATTGTCACAGTATGGACTATTCATGTGATGGAGGATGTCCACACAGGCTGTTATAAACTCATGTGTACCCCATTCTGGGACATTTGGAACAATGAATCTCCAAGCCCATGGCACACAAATAGCACAATACACAAGAACACTCAGTTCCTCCATCACACAAATCAACAATCGTGCGCGCACCGTTCTCAGAGTGGTCCACCCAGGTGAACGTTATTCCTCCAAGGTGGCTCTCGCTGAATCGTAATAAAAAGGTTCCAGGCATTTTGTCCTTTAGCAAATGGCGCTCCTTCTCCTTGCTAACGAACCCCATGACGTACCTAAAAATACAGTGGTACACAGTGTTACCCGATTAGGAATGAAATCGTTGCAACTGCATTTAGTTCATTCACAAAGAACCATTTTTAGGCTGTCTTGAGTATAATTAAGTATTGACAATACTTGAAATACTCTTACACCAATGAATGCGCGCATCAACACTCTATGAAAAGCATAAGAAACCAGAGCTGCTTCCCCCATATGGCATTACATACATTTAGATGGAAAATGACAGAAAGAAAAAACCCGACAGCCAAGAAATAAGGACCCAGAAACTCATGCAGAAGATAGAGCTTACAACTGACCCATCAATCCAAAGGGGCAGGATGTGTTTTTTAATTAAATCCAGTATTGCTTCAAGCCAGATCCAAAAGGTAAATGATTTGCCAGGCAAGTGTTCCTATTGGAATAAACCGACAAGTTAGGACAGTGATTATTTCAGCAGTCATGTGGATAGACTGAGTCAGGTCCATTTTCACTGCTGGCCCCGGGAAATCAGGTGAGACTTCAGAGTTTCTCTCTAAGACACCTCTATCCAGGAGAGTCACGAAAACTCCAGATTATAGGATGGAGGCTTAGAAAGGAGCGGCATATTTAAAAAGTAAAGAAAAGGGTCTACAGGATATTCCTTATCTGTTTGTACCTTGCAGAACTTGGCCCAGGTGAGATGACCATCGCTGTAGCTAGATAGCACTGAAATAAAAGAACAAAGAAATGAGATGCTTATTAAACAATCAGACTCTTCAATGTTGTGTTCAATTTGAATATTTTCTATTTTCCTCCTTTTCAGGAGCCCTGGTGGTGTCATCGTTCTGTACTGGGCTGCTAGCTGCAACGTCAGCAGTTCGAAGCCCGGAGAAGCTGGCACTTTCTATTTCCATAAAGAGTTATAGTCTCAGAAACTCACAGGGGAAGTTCTACCCTGTCCTGTAGGGTCGCTGTGAGTTGACATTGACTTGATGTATTGAGTTTTCAGGTCTACAGAGTCCTCAGTACAACCAAAATCCCTGCCAGTGAGTCTGTGCCGACGGACTCTTAATGACTGTAGGTCAGAGCAGAACTGTCCCACAGAATTATTTTCTTTAAAAAAAAAATCATTTTATTGGGGCTCGTACAACTCTTATCACAATCCATACATCCATCCATTGTGTCAAGCACATTTGTACATTTGTTGCCATCATCATTCTCAAAACATTTGCTT